GAAAAAGGGGGGGGGGGGGGGGGGGGAGCTAGGGACAATGTCTCGCGTCTTCAACATATTGTTAAGGAAAGGTGATGCAAATAGTGAAGCCGTGAGTCTGCTAGGCCCCGAAAATGCAATCAAATGTACTAACTGAATACAAAATGGTCCGTTAAGCATTATCCAGTTTCTAATTCTTCCAATTTCAGCTACATGATACAGTTCAATTGCAATTTGTTCCCAGCATAGAACACATCTAAACTCTGATTCGTCTTTCATTTGTCGTCATATCAATAACCTATTAGTATATTCTGGGGGGTTTTCAGTGTGAGAAGGCGGAACAAGAAAGTCGAGCACACAATTTGTTGCTAAGTGTCTGCTCTGAAACCGCATCCATTATAGACATCGAAGATCTATAGAATAACGCTATGCTAAGCTAATAGACCATATTAACAAGCCAACAAGCATCTTTTGTCAGAGTCATACCAGTCTCTGGTATGATGTAAGCATGTTGTTGCTGTTTTTTAGAAATAAGTGAATTTTTCATATAATGCAATGTATTGTAGTGTACACAGTACAGTAGCTGGGGTTATATTAGGGAGCTTAAGCAAGCGACGTATTTGTCAACACGGACGTCAAATTGCCGAGAGGGGACTGGATTAAAACCTGTGTCTGTATCATGTTATGGTAATCTTCGAAACATATGAGAAAACAAAAGATTTTTTAAGTTTCTTGCTTGCTTGCACGAGCGCTATGATGCAAAATTGCGCCAAAATTAGTTAATATACCAATTTTCGGGTGACGTCGTTGGTGACAAAAACGTCGCTACGACGTATTCTTCAAAACACGGCGGTAAATTAATCTGTTTGTATCTATTTAGTACTAGCTATAGTAAGGAAGTCAAGTCAAGAGCTATGGTTAACAACTTGACAAGAGTAAGGCAGATGTTACAAGGAAGACCCGCTCTTGTCAGTTGTCACATTTCTGTGCATGGCTCACTAGCTGTTGCAGACAAATTGAACTCGTTTTGGTTTCGTTGGTTATAAAAACTTTTGGTAAAGTGCTCAATGGAAAACCAGAGCATATTTAAATTAAGGTACAACAATCGACAAAATCCACTAGGCATCTTTATAAAGATAGATGATACCAGTATTAACTTTCTCAGCTAATGAAATGCATCGATAGATAGATCGTATAGTATATACAATCCGGCCCAATTTCTCAATAGCTGATTGCTTTCAAAACAACACAACACGATACGATGCGATACGTTACGATGCGATGCGATGCGATGCGATGCGATACGATACGATACGATACAATACAATACAATACAATACAATACAATATAATACAATACAAATTTATTTAGATCCGTCCCGAAGGGCTTTTCAGGTTTTGTTACAGGTGTTTGAAAAATATGAGAAAAAAGTTATCATACAAGTTTTTGTAAAAAATGCAATAAGTTATGTACTAAGTCAAAAGGACTTCAAAGTTCAAACGTCTTTCGGTGCAGGTTTTTAGTGGATAATGCCGTCATATTTTATATTGCAATTGTTGCCAATATAGTATATTAGTTAGTGAATCAGGTCCCATGCATGCTCAGAAAATAATCATTTTATTTAATTACAATGTTTCGGAATTAAATAACTCCATCGTATGTTCAGGTTTAATTAATAAAGAATATAATGGTACGATATAAGATCTTTGTGTTTTTGGAAAGATTTTATATTGTCAAAGGATTTTATATCATTAAAAATATTTTTATATATCCTATAATTTTTTAAACCTGAAGATGTTGTTAAACTAGGAAACGTCGTAATTAATCATAACATGATTATTTGCCGAGCTGCATGTGGTCTGATTAATACTGTTAATTTTAAATCTTCTAGTGGTTCATTTGCGGGAGAAGGCGGAACAAGGAACTTAATTGAGCGCACTATTTGTTGTTATAAGTGTCTGCTCTAAAGCCGCATTCCATTTCCATTACAAAACATCGAAAAGGAAACGCTGCTAAGATAATAGATACATTTTATTTGACAAGTATCTTTTTATATTCGGCTGCGCGGGTATGTTCTTTTTGGTTTTAAGGTATTGTGTTTTTTTTTGTTATGTAATGTAGTTAGTCGTTTATTATATTATAAGTATGTAGGCAACAACGCGATGGCGACGGCCAAATAATTTCCTTCAAATCAAATTATTATAAATTAATCTGGTTGTATGGAGTTATAGTGCCAGTTTGAGAAAGTCAAGTAAGGGGCTTTATGATTGAGAAGAGTCTTATTTATGACTCTTTAATCCGTCTATGCCAGACTATTATATGCATGGCTCAGTGTCGTAAACAGGATGAAGTTATTTTAGCACGCGCATATGCCCGCTTGTATTGTAAATTTATTTTCTCACAGTATTATAAATTTTAATGTCATATTAAATGGCCGTCGTCGTTAGATTGTCGTTCGGCCTTCTCGATCCGTATACAGTATTGTCGAGCAAACCATTGCCTTGGAGTTTGGACAGCCATGGCGGAAGTAAATACATTCCTGACAGATTTTCCGTTCGGACACAAGAATGCATATCGCAAAGAGTTTATTTACTCTCGGTAGTGAACTTTGCCAGACATCCAGATCATCATATCTTGACACATAATGAGATTCTTTAGAAGACTGACAAGTTTCGATATTTGTTTCAGTGATCAAATATGAAACCGGAGATTAGTTCAGACAGGATACAAAGATCGTTTTATTTCCACGATTTGCATTTGTCTGATTATGGGTCTTTGTCTTTGATTTAGGCAATACATCAGCTAATAAAATACATCGATCGCAGCAAGATTTTCACAAACACCGAAGACAAGGCGCATTTTAGAATGACAGTTGTCGATCGAGATTATAATTGTCATTATAATTTATACAGATTATAATTTGCCGTCGTAATCGCCGATTCACCTGCCGTAATCGCCTTTCTTCAACGGCTGATTCTCTCAAACGCTTTTCAAACGTTTTTGAATATAGCGCGAAATTTTTTAGAGTTTGTCTTTTTGAGATCGCGAACCGTGCAGGTTCTATTTGGTGCTATTTAGCGAAACCACGCAAATTAGCATGCACTCACGGTCAGGCAAACAGGTCACATCGGGTTAAAGAGCCTTGCGGATGATGGAGGATGGCATCGCTAGCGAAGCCACGAGGAAAAAATATCCAAAGACGATGCTGTAAACGACGATGCGGATGCCACCGCATTGTTCGGAGTATTTGAAACGAAACAAAGAATCCGAATCGGTAAAATCCTAAAAGATCACGGACTCTACGCTCAACACAATATGGCAAACGATCTACAGTACGTCATCACCCTATCAGCGGCAGATGAAATCATGAACGCACAGGGTGGGGGAAATGTGGAAGGGTACACACTGGAAAACATTGAGTTGGAATACGAATCCATCGACAACATCGAATTGGGAAGACAGGTAGAAAGGCAGTACAACGCCGGACGGAAGCTGTCCTTCGAACATGTTATCCTGATGAAAAAGACGGAATGGAGTAAGGACTCCACCATTATCAACGAAACGATCAACGTGCCGCGCAAAAGCATGAAAGCTATCGTCATGTTGTTTACGAACAAGACAAAGACAGACAGTGAAGAATACGTTTACCCCAACATCGAATAGGTTAGGGTAACCGTGGAAGGTTTGCCCAACGCCGTCTACAGTCAAGGTATTCCGAAAACAAGACTGTACGAAGAGGCAAGACGATTGTTCGGCACCGGTGAAATCAGTCATCAAACGCTAACCAACTTTTTCAAAGACAAAAAGTTTGCACTGGTCATCGATCTCAGAACCGTAAACGATGTAGGCACATTTGGAAACGGTGCTAAAATTCAAAACACTCAGTCTGGAATACTGGTGGAAATTACGAAAAAAGCTACAACTGCGAACATCGTATGTCACATGTTCGTTCTTTCCGACGGTGTCATCGGAATTGCAAACGGACAACTCATCGGAGTACAGTACTAAAATAATAAAAAAATATTTAGGGATCACGGTTTTTCCAAACCCAAAAGGGTATGGAATATTTTCATACTTAGTTGTCAATGTCGGTCTTTGGTTCTTCTTCGGAAGGTGGTGGTCCGGTATAAGGTATATATATATATATATATATATGTAAGGGGACAGGTTTCCCACCACGCTTTTGATATCACTCCTAAATATCTTGTCCTGATTTAGCTCCGTCTTTAGCTCTTTCCCGCTATCCACCATGTTGATGGCTTCCATAAAACCGGAAAATTTATCGATCAGGGCTTCCGTCAGCACGATGTTCGCCTTTTCCCTTTGTGCAACGATGCAGTCCTTCCGGACTTTCATAATGACTTTGTCGGACGCTTTTCTGAGATATTTTTCAGACGGGGTAATCTCCCCTGCGTTGGACAGGCGAATAAGCTCCGCCTTATGGTTTTCAATCTCCGTATTTTCCGCGGTCTGTTCCATCTCTTTTATTATAACATTGGAATCTTTACCTCGTGATTGAACGGATGAACCAGGTTTACCTCAAGATGTGCGTATTTGTTTTCCTTCAGCTTTTCCTTAATAGATCTCACTTCCGCGCTATCGACAAAAAATACTCGTCCAAAATAATCTTCATGTCTTGTCTGTTCGGATTATAAAATGTTACCAATTTCGAAATATTTTGTCGGTATGGTTTGGCAATGGAAGTCAGTTGCTGAGTGATAACGATGGTGGAAATACTCATGTGACGCGCTCTAAACCCAAGATCAACCAGCTCCCCCGTACGATACTTCACGGACTTGGTGCTGGCACAGTCGTCCAGAATGATGAGGAATTCCTTTCTCTTTGTAAAATCCACGACAAATTGAAGGTACTTCTCCACGTCGTCCTGTCGGCATGGAATGACAAAAAACTTTCATCCTCGTGTGAATAAATCCCGGTCGTAGGTCCTAATTCCAGTGATAGGTGGGACAAATTAAAAATATATTTTCAAATTGATGAAAAAACGTGGTTTTCAATTCCTGGACGAGGTAGTGTGTCTTTCCACAGGCTGTCATACCTACGATAATCATGTTGAATGGCATTTTATTTTCCGGTTAAATAAAAATGGGATGCTTGTCCACAAATCCCGAAATCACAAATGGGGAGAAGTACGACAAGAACCATCGAAAAAGAAAAATGTTTAGCCTGGGTATTGGCATTGAACGAGGAGAAATCACGATGAGCGCGCACACGTGCACAGTTCGGTTACGTCAGCGCAATGGTAAAAAATATGATAAACAAAATTATGAAAGTACTACGGAAACTGATGTGTATGTGCCTGATCAGCTGCCTATTGATCCCCATAACGGTTGAGGTTCTTCTCGTCATCGTCACCCTAAAATTACTATTTCAATTTTAATGCTTAGCGGAACATTAAAATTACTCAATATACTCCCAACCTACTGTCTGAAATATCTTCTTACACCCACTATGGGAAATCTTGCTTTTAGGAATCCTAAGTAGCGTCTCATCCATCTCTATGTTGAGTATCTTACATATTTGATAGGTTAGGATGCTGAGATTTGGAAGCGTCTTCCTTCTGGGTTCCTCCGGATCGTAAACTTTCTAAATATTTTTCACGATCTCATATTTCTCTTCTCCCGATAGGACAAAACCTATTATATTTCTCTTGCAGCAAAAATTCTCATACCTATAACTAGTACTACTTTTGTCCTGACCTCTTGGAATTGCTGTGTCCCAACAATTATACCGAGGAACAAAGGCGGGATAAGTAGTTTCCAATCCGCACGAATCGCATGTCATTACTCCAAAACAAGTAGGTCATTTTCATCACCACATTTCGGACAGCTGGCCCGCTTTACGGACACTTATAATAATGGCCGTTTTTGTCTCGAAGGCATGCTGTATTTTGATATATACTGGAATTTAATTGAGGCTTGATTGTGTTATAGAAATAAATGTCATAAACCATATTCTACTATTAAATTTCAGTCAGGTTACACGCAAGTAAAGCTCACTTTAAGATATACAATTCTCCGATGAACAGATTCACATAATAATATCCAAACTCGCATTGAACTAAAGACTAAAGTCGAAAAAATTATAGAATTCGAAAGTTCATCAAAACATAAACAACATGTACACTCTTTAAGCATTTTAACGATATAATTCTGTTAAATATACACGTGATTTTAGTCATAAGATTGTCAACTCTAAGCCATCGTCCGACTATTTGTATGCTCCTCAAAAACTGTTTCATAATTTAAGCCCGAAACTTCTTAAATTTTATGACAGTAGCAACAATTATTGTTGTGGTAAAATTTTTGGTTTATATAACCATCCCTCAGCTAAAGAATTCATGATTCGGCAGTATGTTTTCGCATAAACAATCTCCTGAAGTGTACTTGCCTGATCGCGCTGTCGTAAACTACGCCATTTTTAAGAAAATGATTTCTACTGACCTTTCCCCAAAGTTTTCAAGTTTGCACAAAACAACAGAGCAAAAACGTCGAAAATATAGAGCAAGACTCCGGACATATCGGGTAATCATCAGAACGTATTGATTTTTGCTATTCTTCATAAAAAAATTTGGCGATGAAAATATTTCGTCCGAATAGTGGTACTTCCGAAAATTGGACAACATACTGTATTCACTTCGAAATATTCTTGCTATACAAACATCCAAATTATAACTAGATTCTAGAGATCCAGTACAAACACCTATTTAATACTGAGTACATGATTAGGGAAAAATGAATGATCCAACCTATTGATCCAAGTTAAATTAAAACGCTATCAATAAGTTCACCTATATAAACTTTGCCGAGCAAGGTTCACAAGTCACAACGAAGCTTGTTCACATGTCGCCGTGACTCTTGTTAACAGATTTTCTTCGCCATTATTGCTCAGAATTTCATGACATTACGTGTATACATGTAGCTAAAAGTTGTCTGGTTGTTCTGCTGCAGCTAAAAGTTATGCATGGATGTAAGAAGTTGTTAAAATCTACCGCTACCATTTCATCTCCGAAAAAAAATCGCTCTTGTGTTTAAGCAGTCTTCATGTTGTAGTTCAACCCCCCTGAAACCAAATTCTTACTATAAATACGTCACAAACTGTTTACTTTTTCAACCAATTAAATCACATAATATTTTTGAAAATATGACGAATGAAATAACCTCTAGTATCCCGCATGGAGACAACAAAAGTTTTGTCAGACCATGAAATGTTTGTGCAAATTTTTCAGCTTTCTTGCAGTCTTGAAAACAAATATATATATATATATATATATATATATATATATATATATATATATATATATATATATATATATATATGAACAATGCTTTTCATTGAGTGCTTGCGGCGCGCGTCTAGAAACAGTTTTGGGCTGCCTATGCTATAACTAGAGCATTCTCAAGTTCACGCTGTAGCATCGAAACGTCGTTTAATAAATGTAATATCGCTTTCATTTGTTTCAAAATTTTTTTCAAAAAAGTTTTTTAAAGGACAATGGCAACAAAATTTTTTATTGTCTATATTAAAAGTGTTGCTTCATCTAACTATAAATATGATATTAATACCGTGTCAAACATTTTTGTTCAGGAGTTATATGCATGTTATTTCGCTGTTAATTTATATATCGACGGCCATCTTGGCTCGTATTTGCGAAAAATTATCTTTTTGGTAATATGACCCGTATGACGTAGATGGCAGGGTAGAATTAAAACAACAATATATTTTTGTATAGCGTGTATCGAGATTTAATACGTTTTCTCAAAAAATTAATGCTTTTGAGTCATTGTAATGGAAAATATTCACGAGAACCAAGTAGGAGAAGTGTTATCATACCAACATGAACCAGAAGTAGGAGAAAAACAAGCAATATTTTAATTTTGGGATAGGTATAAATATATGACCTCTACATGCGTCTTGGACCTTTAGTTTGTGGTTTACTTATAATCATTTATTTAATGTTTTTTTTTATTTTCAACCATGCCGTTAAATATTGTATATTAGGTGCAAGCGTATAATGCGTGCTGCGTGCGCTGTTTTGTGTCTTTATGTCAATCCATTGTAGAAATAGTTATATACCGCAATATATATTGAAGCTAGTATGTACTGTAAGTAAAGTTATTACTTGGCAACGCTTCCCTTTTCAATTGTATTCTAAACGTTTCATTGCACTGTATTCGTTAAAAACTTTGGCGACTGTCCTTGTTCATACGCGTCTTCGGCAAAATGAAGTGAGCATGTATTCTAGTCACATCGTCGCGACGATGGTTTAATGCTTTGCGCTTATACAGAATTGAATCCACGCTTTTCTCCTATATTGCTGATCTACCGATTTGCCCTTTGGAAAATTGAAGAAACAGATTTCACTTGTGTGTTAGCTGTCACTATTACAACCATAGACGGCGATACATGTTTTGCAGTGCACCTTACGTTTTACATGAACAATCTAGATCTTTTCGTTATTCAAGCCGTACTCAGAGCTGACTATATATAATATTTGCAATTTCGGTGATATATATATTCCCACACGTGAATTTAGGGCATTTTACATAACAATGAAAATATTAATAATATTGGGAACTATATACACTACAGTACATGCATATATATTTACCTATATAAAATGACAACCAAGGACACCAAGTAGAACTAGGCTACATGTAAAAATACATCACAACATATAACCAGATTATAGTTATTGTACACTTATAACTTATCTCTTGTCTGGGATAATCCCATACTGACCTTGAATGTCAATTTACTAATTTGCGCAATGCCTAACTTGCGTGACACTACACATTACAGAAGAGGCAAATCTTGTTTGTGAGATAACAGCTACTTCACGAGCAATGTCGTTTGAAAGCCTGCTTAGTTTTAAAAACAATTAATAGTTGTGAAATCTGAAGCTAGAATTATCCACTGCAACATTGTTGCAGTTCCGCCAGTAAATTGGTTGAATTATTTTTTTATTAATAATAATAACAACACTTTGAAACACTAAATACTCAGTAGAATCTTTTATTTCAATGCAAATTATTTCTATATTTCTGCAACAGAGCATGCGCATACATAAATGTATATGCTATACATATATACATACATTTGGAATATATAATATATGTAATTGGAACAGCAGAACTACCATAACCGGAGTCAATGTCTAAGCGCATTTTACAACGCAAATATACGCTTACTGTCGAAAACACAGTCACAGACCATTGGTAGTAAGCTGCTACACATTATTGAACTATGAATACACGTTGCAACGTATATCTCTAATTTTTTTGTAAACATTTTCTTCCAAATCTCAACGTTATTACAGTGTAACTTATACTGCGGGATTTGCGTTTACCCTGCCATTTACGTCACGAAATGTATTCATGCATAAATTAGCATACGCGGAATTTTCCCAAGATGGCGGACGACTGTAAAAATTTGCTAAACATTTTCACAAATTATCTGAACAACTAAATGCAATGGACAAACAAAAATATGAAATGAAGTATTCCATTAGTAAGCTTAATAAATACAGACAATAAAAAAATTTGTTGCCATTGTCGTTTAAGATAATTATTATCCGTTAACTTAAATTGAAGTCAAAACACGAACTTTCGAAGCACTCCATACAGCCTTGTGTTAACCGCGGAGACAAAGTAATTGAAAGAGACTGATATTGAACATCCATTGCCACCACTTTTGGCCACAACTTCTTATTTCGGATATACATGAAGTATATAGCTGGATATACGTCAAACGTCACTAATTATTGTACATATAGATCATCGGAAGGTATACACAGGTAGATCAGCGATTCCAGTAATGTTGGGATTAATTCATTTATCTTTTTCTATAGCTTGGCATCACTCCACATTCGATTGAAGAAAGCACAAAATTAAACTATTGAAGGAGAAAGAAATGGAGATAAATAATACAGCATCCAACTACATTAAAGAGTGTTCAATAGCCGGACACACACATCTCATTATCGTGGAATTTCCATCAAGTAAATATGTCGTCAACCAAGTTGTAACATCTGTTGCGATGTATATACTAATGATTCCTGTAGTATTTTTGAACGGTATAACAATTACGACGTTCTTGAAAAGTCAACACATGAGAGCGAAGGTTTGCCACTTCCCCGTATTTATCCAGTCAATGGCTGACTTGTCTGTTGGATTGCTTACTCTTCCATTGTTTGGCTACCTTCACCTCAGCGAAGTTTTTGGTTCGCCAGACTGTGTGTTAAGTTTTGTCATTTCTACTATAGCATTTATACCGTGGGGATTATCCTTAGCAGCTTTATGCGCATTGAGTTTTGAAAGATACATGGGCGTTTTGCATCCAATTGCACATCTTCACTACGTTACAAAGAAAATGTTTTTGGTATACATTTGTTGTGTTTTATTGGTAACATTGATAATCGTGCCCTTGGCTGTAGTTTCAGCAGCATTCTACTACATTTTTTGCGCGCTCTACACATTTACTCCAGCGCTCCTTCATACATTTTGCTACTCACGGATCTTGTATTCAGCAAGGAAAAGACTGCGACGAAACAACTGCAGCAGCAGTAGCGAAGAAACGGAGCCAAAATCATCAAATCGAGCTGGAAAACGATATTCTTCGAAGGAAATGAAGCTTGCCAAGTCTTGTGCATTGGTTGTAGTTACATTCTATGTTTTTTGTATTCCAGGTGAGATCCTCAACATTTATTATCTCGAAAAGGACATAATATTATATCGGGTCGTAATTGCTTGGTTTGTTCCAGTTCTTGGAGTGAACACAATACTGAATTCTGTTATCTTCTTCTGGACAAGACCAGTCTTAAGAAAAGAAGCTTTAAAAGTTTTGAAAGGAATCTGTGGTAATTGAAAGAACAGTTCATTTTCTTTTACAACGGCATTCAGTTGATGGTATGAAGTGTCAGAAACCACCTGTCGCCAGGTACACGGCTTATACAAGGAAAATAGCAATTAAAAACTTCTCCCACTTGAAAGAAAGATTTGATATATTTCAAAATTTTATTATATACTTCTTTTCTTTAACGTTCTTAGAATAAAAGAGTATAAAAGATATTATCCTTCTTCCCAAACAAAATCGTTACGCATTCCGCCATCTAGCGGATAGATAGATGATTAGTTAGTTTAATTAAATAATATTGAATCCCTATAGGGCTGAACTTTGTTACCTATTAATGGAAATACAAAAAATGTTGTAAAAATTACAAAGGTTGTTGTAAAAATTATTATATATACCTTACTACGGTAGAATTTTCTAAATCATATGAAAATCATGGTTTAAGTGAGTTGCATGCAATAAAACTGTTTTTATACCGCTGAGCTTAAAAGTGTACATTAAACTCATGTTTGTCCATTAAATTAAGAGCACTAAAATTACGAAACGGTAAAATACTATATAATCTGTGACTATCGTTTGAAACCATCTCTTGGAATAGTTTAGTGGTAAGTTTCAGTGTCTGGACATTTGTAATACTTAGTGCTTCATCATATGTAATCCCAGGGAATATGATCTTCATTGCTCTCCTTTGTATCGATTCAAGGTCATCCGGTAGATATTGGGTCAGACTATCATGGAACGCTGGACTTGCGTACCCCATAACAGGCCCAATACACGTAGTGTAAATTTGGAGCAGCTTCTTAGTGGCAATGTTTGACCTCTTTAATTGACTAAAAAATATAGCCTATTCGGGCTTTCTTAATTGTTTCATTAACATGTTTGTTTTATTTAAGGTTATTAGAAACATTTAGGCCAAGAACCTTAGCATAATCAACCACATCAACCGTGTTGTTGTTGATTATGATGGGATCGAACTGTGTTGGTTTCCAACTAAATCCAGTATGCAACTTCTTACATTTTCTTCCATTAAGTTGGAATTTGTTTGCTCGAGCTTGTGCGGGGAATTCGTCTAATTCATGTTGAATATAGCTCATATTCCCTTTGTTAACAAATTCTGACATAGTTGTATCATCGGCATACTTCCATGCCGAGTTATTAGGTGAGGCACTTTTAATATCGTTCATCATTGTAATAAATAGCCATGGGCCTAACAACGTGCCCTGGGAGACACCCGCTGTGACCGATTCCCATTCCGAGTAGCAATCCTGGTTTAGTTTGACTCGTTGTTTTCTGAAAGTGATAAAATCGGTTATCCATGCAGTCAATTGTCCACGATGACAAATCATACGTTTTCAATTTCCGGACTAGTAGGTGGTGGTCGATCAGATCGAATGCTTTTCTGAAGAGGAACAAAATTATTCTCATTGTTCCACCGTTACCACCTGTGGATCCGTTCCATTCATGAATCATACTTATAAGTGCATGGACAGCACTTGAGTTTGAAATTGTTCCAAACTGGTTTTGGTCAGCCTAGTCCCAGGCTCTCTCTCTATTCGCTGCTTTGATATATTTAAATAAGTCTTAAAAGTTTTATGCCTGGGTGTGCTGTGCGGAACGCTTCAGCGAGAGAGCCTAGCAGATTTCAGTAAAATGGTCCCTGATTTCAAAAAAGTGGTCCCTGGCCTGGTTACCAAGCATACCTCATTTGTAAATGGAAAATGTTATTGAAATTTCCTTTGCATTTATAATTAAGTCATTCGTTTTGCTCTAATGCTGTCGGAACAATGAAGTAGGCTACGTTTCGCGGCCATACGGTCAGAATGGAACGGGCTAAATATGACTCGTGTTTACTAAAATATATAGTCATATTAAATGCTATCTAGAAGCTTGAAAATTATGCCGAGTCTCCGACTAAGAATGTTTTGACAACACCGTCATGTCAGGCAAATATTTCCAAGACTTCCAATCTCCTCAGCAATTTAAACCTGTCAAGTGGAAAGCGTAGTTGTGTATACCAGTATGGTCTAGTGTTGATCACAACTTGCGAGTACATAAATAACATCAACGATTGCTCAAATTCGGTATCGTAAATTTGTATATAATTTTTTTTAGTTGAGCACATTTTTAATACAGTTTGATTTGGTTATGTAGACATCGAACACAGGGGCGGATTTAGGGGTCGTCAAACCAGTCACGCGACTAACGTAAAAATTGCAAACTTAATTAAAGTCTTAAATATTCGACCAATAGTCCAGTTATTTTTTATCATGCAGCGACATCTTATAATAGTCCAGTATCTATTATCATGCAGCGCTAGCAATTAACATTCCAATCGAACTGTAGTCCAGTGATCAAATTTCATTCAGTGGTTGAGCCGACGAGCTTAGTCAAGTCAATGAACAGCTGACATACGCAAAGTCGGTCAGTCAAAAAGTCAAAATCCAGTGTTTTGATTGGTCTAGACGCTTATTGCCATGGTAACAAGCGATTTTTTGCGATTTTGACTGATCTGTGGGGAGTTCTGACCGATTTAAAAAAGTCAGGGGCGCTCCATTTGTCGGAATATCATTAATATTTGACGCGTGGTAAAGTCTTTCCGAGCGCGCGCTCATTCGAAGTGTCATGTTGTAGCTTTGTCGGAAGATTCAATTTAAAGATATCTACGGAAAATTCGGAAATGTCTGCTGCTCCAGACTCCAGTCCTTGTAGTATTCACGAAACGGTTCAATCCACATTTGCGGTGAATGATTTAGCTGTCTTACAAGACTGTTGCGCTGATCTTGGGAGGAAAATCGACGCTAAATATCGGAGAGTTCCATTCAGTGAGCAGTTGCTAAGCGGCGTAAGCGTCACGAATAGCACGAACTACAGTTTGACTGTTTGAGTAGAAGTATTGGCGCCGAGATCTTTGTTTTGAAGTGCAATAAGGTAAATTTAATGTGATATGTAAATTTTATTTCGTTTTAGACAGCATAACAATATTTTTAAGTGAACAAGATGCGCGCCATGCATATGTAAAATTGTAACTTGAATACGCGTATCTTGAATAGATTTAGCTATGAATTTTGATTTACACAACAAATTTGCATATTTGTAATTCTGCGGTTGAAGGTCCGTCAGAACTCACAAGGCTATTAATATGGAGGATAACCTATATAAATGCATTAACGCAGTGTACATAGGATATAAAAGTCAGGTTTTATAGATGAATGTTAAGACTTTAATATTGATATATGTTTATTTGAGTAATGTGACACTGTAGTGATTACTAGTCAAGTGATCAATGACTCAACAAGGCTATTAGGCAACAAAAATGAGTGTAGTGCACTAGTGCTATCATGAGATAGTTAAACATAATACTAGCAATCCGTATTAAATTTGATAAAATGAAACATCTTCCACAATTATCACATTTCTGCAAGTACTTCTCCTTTACTTTTCCCTAAGGAGCGAGTTGTGAGAGTCAGTCAGACTGATAGTTGCTATAATTATCTCCCATTTCATGAAGTTAATTGTTGAAGCTGTTTTCAGAGTGATGCAAATTGTGTTTCGGAGGTTTAAAAATATAAAAATTCCTGGGGGACAGAACCCCCTAGGTTCCTCGCACATTCGCCGCCCGCAAAACTAGATTGCACATCCGAAAACTTTGACTAACGTACGAAAAATCCTGGATCCGCCCCTGATCGAACATGTACATGATGAACGAACATTGTCGTATTTATAATTAAAAGGTTACTTGTATATATAAATTTTCCGCCATATTAAAAATACTGAAATCTGCTAGGCGTTCTGAAGCACCTTGAGCGGTGACGTCATATAGGTCCCAATGTCGTACTACATCCACTTTTTTCTCGCGCTTGCTTCAGAACGACTGGGACTAGGCTCGGTTTCGGTCTATTTTCTCTAATACTGCTGGTTTCACAAAAGTTTCTAACACAAAACTCTCAGGAATTTTCGATATTATAGGATTCAGGGAAATAGGGCGACGGTGCTTATTTGTATTACGCACTGTTTTTTCTTTTTTGTATGGGAGTAATGTTTGCACCCTTCCAGGATTGAGGTAAACGAGCTTCAAAATATGATTGGTTTAAAATATCAGAGATCGGCCGAGCCAGAATATCTGCATTTTCTTGAATATCTGATTTTACATGAGTGAGGAGTTAATTAAAATTGATATAGTCTTGAGTATCCTATTAATATTACACTGTACAAACGGTTATAACGGCATTGCCTTAAAAAAATTGTGTTTCTATAAGTAAATCAGACCACAAGCTCAGCAAATAATCATTTTATTAATACAATATTTTAGAGTATAATTGCTTCTTCAGATTTAAAAATAATAACATGGCATGATATAAAATCTTTTTGCTCTTGAAGAGGTTTTAATATCATCAAAAAGCGGATTCTGTGTAGTCAAATATTATGGGAGGTGGGGCAAGGGTGTGATATTTTTGTGACTCCTGATAAACAATTATTTGTGCTTCCTGATTCGTGATTTAAGGCAATACCATTCCGTGAATCGTGATTAATATGGGTGCCGTGAATCGTGAAGAGCAAAAAGGCTTGCTAGGATCTTCGATTTACCAATATTTTGCAGTAATTTGTGAATGTTTACGTTTAGGACTCCGCCCAAATTTAATATTACGGTAAAAAAAAATGAATAAATTTGCTTCCCGCTGTTGCTTTTCTGGAGGTTTTTTCGTTTCATCGTAAACGTCGTTGTCGTATACCTTCGTACGTAGATTTCGTGAACCATCGTAATGTTTCATAATGCCTCCCAATGATTTCCATAGTCGGTTTTAAAACTCTGATGTTAAAGTCAGTAAAATATGTTTGTTTTGGGGTGTTTTTTTTTTATTTAAACAATATTTTGATATATTTACCCCAAGAGCTTAGAGCACATCGAGGGGTTCATGCAAACATAAATTACAATATTACATTACAATTACCACCACAAGTACAGATAAAAAAGGATCGCTTGGCAATCGCATAAACATCATATGCGAAACGTGCAGAACTACAATATACCATTGTACCTCAAAGAAAATTGCAGCATTTACTTCAAAACTTAGATTTCTTGAACCATGTAATAGAATGTCCACTTGTTGAGAGATATTCAAAATGTTCCATACATTTCCACAAGGCGCATGACAGAGGTAAGCATTGAAGCACACAGAGCAGCAAAGCGTGGACAAAATAATAAATAATGAGTTACATCTTCATTAAGTGCACCACAGGTACAAGATGGAGATAGAACACAGTTCATTGAAAAAAGATAATGATTAAGACCGCAATTGTTTAGTCTTAATCTTGTGTGTAAGGCCGAAAAATACCGGTCACCCAAATAAACCAATTTAGAGACAGGAGCTCGAGGTATATAAAATCGTTCACGTAATAAAGAGTTTTAAATGGAACAAATGTTCCATATTCTCTCGGGGATTCAGAAAGATTATTCCATAAAAAAATTGTAGAATACAAAAAGGACGAATGAAAGGTAAACTTAAATCATTCCTAGTCCGAAGCCTATATGTAGTTCTTTGGCTTACGTAAACAGGACAAAAATCCGACAAATAACTTGGAGCTAAACCTTTAACCATTTTGTACAATAATAACAACTTATGTATTTTTTCCGGTTATTTAACGTATGCAACCCGCAATCAATCAACACACTTTCTCTGTGTGTACCTTTCATTGATCCAGCAATTAATTTTGCTGCATCATACTGAACACATCGTGCAGGTCCGATTGACCTATTGTACACCCATCCCAGACAACATTAGCATATTCCATCTTACAGCGAACAAGAGATTTATTCAA